TTAATCATATGTTTTCCCAATTCTTTCAAAATCTTTAAGAAGTTGAAAAGACTCTCTTTTGCCTCCTACCTCTCTCGACTTTGCAACCTGTTCCCTTCTCTCAATCAAAGTTTTTTCTCAAATTGCTACTGGTGCTCTAAGTCAATCAAAATGTCTCAAACATCATCTTCAACCAAGGCAACCTCTTCATCTTCATCATCTGACCAAGACTCTCGAGCAATCACCACATGCATAGAATCTGAAGTTCTTGAGATCACTCCTCTCAGAGAGATGGCAACTGACCCCGCCAAAGTAAAAAAGCTGAGAACTAGACATGCAGGAAGAGCTCAAGCTGCTGCCTCTGGTAATCCTTCTCATCCTTCTTCTTCTGTACCAAATAGAGAAGGATCAGTTCAAGTTCATCAAGCTATTGCTAGGCTTGTTACTAGTATACTAAGCGGAAACCAACCTGTACCAGGAATTTCTGTCCCTTTAAATCAATCAGGAAGCCCAAATGTGGATGTCTCTGAGAATGTTATGACACAAAATGACAACATTCAGAACCCTTCAGAAAAGACTGCTGATCCACCTACCATTGATGTGGATGAGGAATACTCAGACAATGATCTGATTGCCAATGTAAACCCTAGCATAGCTAGGAGAATGATGAAAAGAAAGGGTAATCAGAATGATACAAAATGTATGTCCAAAGATAAACCTGCTGTTAAGAAATCCAAGACTGAAGGCAAGGCTGGGGTAGAATCTGTGAAAACTGGTCAGTCCAAAGGGAAGGTGAAAGCCCAGGTGTATGCTGGTAGACAACCAATTACAAAGAAGAGAAAAGAACCTGAATCTTCTGATTGTGATGAGGAATCAGAGTTTGAGATTGATGCTGAAGAAATTCCTATCAGAAGGAAACTGGCCTCCAGCAAAATTGCTAGAGTTCCTGAAGTCCCAACAGACAACATCTCTTTCCACCATCCTGACAATGCAAACAGATGGAAGTATGTTTGCTTGAAGAGAATAGCTTTAGAAAGAGAACTCAACAATGATGCCATGGAGTGCAAAGACATCATGGACCTGATCAAGAATGCTGGACTGATGAAGACAGTGATAAAATTTACCAAGTGTTATGAAAATCTGGTCAAAGAGTTCATAGTTAACTTGTCTAATGATTGTGCTGATGGAAGGTCAGCTGACTTTGAAAGTGTTTTTGTTAGAGGAAGAAGGGTTAATTTCTCTCCATCAGAAATTAACAAATTTCTTGGAAGATCAAATGAGGATTGTCCTGATCTGGAAGTCACTGACAATGAAGTTTGTCAAACCATCACAGCAAGGCAAGTGAAGTGCTGGCCCTTGAAAGGCAAGCTGAATGCCAGCAAACTTAGCATGAAATTTGCCATCCTGCACAAGATTGGTGCAGCCAACTGGGTCCCTACAAACCATAAATCAACTATCTCCACAGAATTTGGGAGATTTATTTATGCTGTGGGAACCAAGACTGCTTTTGACTATGGCAGGTATATTTTTGAACAAACTTTAAAACATGCTGGTAGTTATGCTGTCAAAGGACCAATTGCCTTTCCCTCCCTCCTTTGTGGAATTATCCTTGCACAATTCCCTGATATCCTGGTGGCAAGAGATACTGCTTGCAAAAGAGCTCCTGCCCTTGGGTTGCACTACAAACTGTTTCAGGGATCTCATGCTCCTGATATTGTCATAACATCAGCTGAGACATCGTCTGTGAAGACCCAGTCAAAAACATCTGATGTTATTGCTGTATTAAAAGAGACCTGCAAAGAACTGGAAGCTAGGAAAAAGACCCTAGAAAACCTAATTTCCAGGTTAGAAAAGGAGGAAGCTGAAGGAAACAGAAGGGAAGAGGGTGTAGAAGCTGAAGGTCATCTCAATACTGAAGAAACTAGCTCCTCTGAGTCTGATGACAGTGCTTAAAGGTTGGTGGAATTGCTGATTGGTGGAGTTGATGCTGGTCCCTGGTAGAGTTTGGAAGTGTGTTCAGTTTTTAGTTCTGCTCTCATTACTTTTTCTGGATGACTGTATAAATTTTAAGAACATGTATCTTTGGCCCATTTGTGGCTAAAGAGGGGGAGATATATTTTGGTACTTTATTAGACATTCTATTTTTCTGCAGTCATATTTATTCTGCTGCTATCTATCTCTGATTGCTTAGGGGCTTTAGCCAAAAATCTGCCAAAGGGGGAGTTTGTAGTTGTTTATGTATTGGCATGCATTTTTGGTAAAACCAGGTGTATGAATGTCATGACTGATGTCATAACATTCTAGTTTATTAGGTACAAATTTATTAGGTACCTTTGCAGAAAAATATTGTCATACAAGTACTGATGTTTATGAGTGTGTATCTGAGCATTTTACAAAATGATCACATTTACCAAAATCAGTAAACAGGAATTCAGATGTCATAACAAATGTTAAGACATCCTGTTCTGAACTAACAGGTATGCAGTTTGGTTAATTCTGAGTTTTTCAGGAAAATGACTCAGTCTTTCCAGAACAGAATCCTGCGTTTTCTTTGGGTTAACCTAGCTCAACCCCAACCTGGTTGATCTAGTCCTGTGACCTAGTCTTAAGGTCAAACGGATTTAACCCTAGCTTTTTGTGGAAACCCTAACTGAAGATGCAGCTACTATATATTCAACAGAGCTACTGTCTTGGAATGTATCCCTTTTTGACAGAAGATCATTTTAGAAGCTGTATAGTTTTAACTATTGTAATCCAAGCAATTATCATTGTGATAAGTGACTTGGAATAGGTTTTAATTGTAAGGGTTGTGTATCACTCAAAGCTTTGAAGCAAGAGTGTTTGTATGTCTCTTGACTAAAGCTGTGAAGCAAAGTCAAGTCAGGTCTGTGTATCACTCAAAGCTGTGAAGCAAGAGTGTTTGTGTTGCTTGATTAAAAAGCTGTGAAGCATAATCAAGTGTATGTTTTGAAGAGTGTCTTCATCAATTCATTAGTCAAATTGTTTTATGTATCACTGCTGTGATTGAGGGGGAGTGAGTAGGAACTCAGGTTTAAGTTGTACTTAGATTGAAGTTGCATTGGGTAGGTCTTAAGTGAAGGAGATAAACTGGTTGGTTTATTCTTGAATTAATATCTCTTATAGTGGATTTCCTCCCTGGCTTGGTAGCCCCCAGAGTAGGTGTTGTTGCACACTGAACTGGGTAAACAATTGACTGTGTTCTTTACTGTTTTTGTATTTACTGTCTTATAGAAAGTCAGATACGGTGTCACAACATTGAACGTGACATTGAGTATTTGCAGCCAGAATTTCATGGTCCAATCGAAAATGATAATTACAACAGAACCATAACATCAATAATCGTGATAATACTAGTAATATAAAGTGGCATAGTGACAATAAGATATTTTTCTTTCTAACTATATTTTGTATCCTTTTATTAACCATAGTGACAATTTACAATTTTCTTATATGTTATGGCATTTGTTTTAAGAGAAACAAAGCTCTTATTGAAAAACTGAGCATTTCGACTTCTGATTTTGAATATCTTATCATTCCTTCAAAGTAATCAAGGCGCCCTTTCACCACCCAACAACAACCCCAATAACAAATCCAACACACATCAACCTCCCACCAAACACCACGACGATACAAATTTATAAACACCCAACCCCAATCACAACCTCAATACCAATACACCCATATGCCCCCCACCCAACAATCTCAACCTCAATACCAATACACTCACATGTCTCACACACAATTCTAGTACTCTGAACAAAGATCATACATCCAACATCCCGATGTGGATCCATCATCATCTCCCTTTAGTCCAGACATTGGCCTACCTGAAAAATATTTCTCAACCAACTCAACATACCATCAAGTATGACATCGCCATAACACCTAACAATTATATAGATACCAAAATCCACACAACCCATTTTCTTTTTACCCCATATTCAGATGACCAATGCTATCGATCACCCATGAAACCCAACCCTCCACCAAGACGACCAAACTATAAGAACATGAGTAACCAACTGTTAGAAAGCAAGACTTCTGAAGATGATGATCTGACAGATTTTATGAACGTTGATCGTATTGACTACACGGGGCCATCGATCCAACCACAATAGGATAAGTGTAGAGTGGGAAAGGCGAGGACGCAGTTGTGAAACCAAATACTAATAATATATAACTTTTATTTAAAATCGTTTTATTATTGTCTTTTATTTAAAATTAAAAAAAATAAATTAAAATTGATCTCTAAATAACACATGGACGCTATCTGAAATAACTTAGAACAAATGTTTTGCACCTAAACACCATCTCACTTGACTGTTCCATACAAATTTTAAATTTTCTAAAATATAATTATTTGCGTGAAACACAAATATCTAATAAATCCACCAAAAAAACAAATGCACACTTTATCCTTTTATTGTCTCACTATTAAATATTCAAATATAATTTCTCATTAATCAAGTGAGATTTCATTCCATAACTTTTTTTCTTTTGTGCAAGTGCACCAACCCCCACTCAAAGGAACACTTTACAAGGCATTAACCCCCACTCACTCAACCATTGATCTAGACCCACTACCATATTTCTGCATATATATTTCTGCATCAACTAACAATTCTTAAAGGAGAAAATAAGAACAAGGATCAAGTGTGTATTTAAAGAAAAACAACTTATCTAAAAAAAATAAAATAAAATAATAATAATAATAATAATAATAATAATAATAATAAATAATAATAATAATAATAATAATTAAGAATTAGAAAGCTGTATTGTCAAAAGTGCAAAACAATAAGCTAAAACAATGGACCAACCTCACAAAATCTATATCTCAATTTTATTTAATTTCATATATAAGTAAAAAAGAAAACATCCCACCTTTCAAGTAAAAACAGAAGGGGATAGAATTAGAGCTGTTATACAGTCATATAAGATTTCTTAATCCTCATATTAAAGAAAAATTAAACCAAAATCAAAAACAGTCAAAAATTTATCTATGGGTTATCATCCTCAAAAACCACTGCCAAACCAGTCACCACTCTAACCCCATTCAATGATCCCTTCGGCTTCAACTCCGGCGGCTTCCATTCGCCGCAATAGCCGGAATTCTCAGCAACACAGTTTTCCTTCAAACTATTTTGTTTTTGCACATGCACATTCATTCTAGTGTAAGCTGAAAGCCACTTAGCATTAACGTATTCAGCTCTCCTCCACGGCGGAACATACATTCCCTTCTTCTTCAAACTCTGCTTCGCCGCCTCGGATACAATCGTCACAATGCTCTGCAATCTATCGCAATTTCCAACGAATATGTATGGAAGATTCTGCAGAATCGTCTTGTACGATTTAGTAGACCTAGCAATCTCAAATTCTGATTTGAAATCAATGTCAATTATCAACCGTTCATTCTCCATCATCACATCTATATATTCATATTCCCCTGTTCAAAATCAACAATCTCTATGAACTGATAATTTGATATTTAAACTTTCAATCCAGTTAGAGAAATTAAGTACCAGCGGGATATGAAGATGCTTTTTCCCAGCGAGATTTACAGACGGATGCATCGTATCCGAGAGCTAATAATCCCTCGGTAACAATCTTTCTGCAGAAACTGTCCTTGCGTTTGCACTTACTGTTCTTATCAACGATCTTTGCAGTGTCCGCTAGAAGATTTCTCTCACCAACGTTTCTACAAGTTACCAAACCCTGTCCAAACCGAAATAACGCGTTTCAAATCGTTTCGTTTTTTGAATTATTTCAAAACGTTGTTCAAAATTCAAATTCAAATTCAAATAAGCAAAGCACCACTTACCTTGAGAATTTCAGATGCATCAGAAGATGAATAGCTCGAGTTTGAACCGTCGAAACCGCAACGCACATCTGATTCATCGTCCGAGATATCTTCACAGTTCCTATTGAAGCAGTTACAGCGGTTTTTTCCACACTTTACAGAAACCGATTGCTTCTCGTTATTCTCCTCGATGTAGTTCGTCACCATTTTCGCCAAACATATTGAACTCGGTTCAAAATCACCACCGCCGTTAAATCCTTCCTTGCATAAACGCGGTTCCAGATCACCGCCAAACTTCTCCGAAGCAGAAATTCTCAGGACACCGGAGAATTGCCGCTCGATTAGCCTCTTCAGACGCGACTTGACAACCGGCTTCACCGGTTCATCTCGAGTCATCTCCTCATCCAAATGAAAATCAATCGGTTGAATTTTCATTGTAAAAAACATCACAAGCTACAGTAACACTCTTTCACGCTTTCAGTTATTTATTTCTTCCATTTTCGAATTTTGAGCATAAACTTTTAATTCGAGTCAGAGGAAGACAGAACTATGTGAAACTAAATTTGAGAAATTCTATGATGAAGTCACCTTTTCTCGATTCTCCGCATAAGTTTTCAAAATTTCATGATGAAGAAAGTCACAAAAAAGGAAAAGTTAGAAAAAGAAAAGGAATAACGTGTTCTGCCAAAAACTGTTGACGCTGAAAACAGTGCAAGTTTCCTGATTATTTTTTCTTTCTATTTTTTTAAATCTTTTTCTATTATTATATTGCTATAATAATTTGCCTCTGACTTGTGAAACTAAACATGGAATAACTTGATAACTCTGCCAAGTTAACTCGCTTTAGCTTAAAATTTTTACTTCTAGAAATGATTATAATTTGATCCAAAAGTCACCGATAATCGATAATCGCCGGAGCTTTCATATTCTCCGGCGACTGAATGTTGATTTGTTTTGTATTCTTGAGATTATGGCTTTTCTGGAGCAGTTCGGGAAGCAAGGATTATTTAAAGACGAAGAAGAAAATACGATGACAGTTAGAGTGAACTGCCACGTGTAAATCCAACGTGGCGGATTGATAGAATTGTAATAGCTGAGTACGTTACGTGTTGAGGTGTGAACCGGGTTTTAATTTCAAGTTTCGGTTCATGAGCCACGTTACACTGGGTGTGGGGTTGATTTCGAATTGTCGAAAATGACCTTATCCTTTTGCGAGAGCCTCGTGATGGGGACGCTTTTGGAAATTGATTCACGATCAGGAAATGTGTCGGAGGGAAACTACACCTACAAAACTTTTTCGGTTCTAAGATGACGATGTTTCGCGTGCCTTTATGTTTACAATAATGTCCTCATTATATTATAATAGAAACTTTAATATGGCCTAAAAGCTGTCTAGGTGGAAATTAGTTAAGGGGTAATTTTGTCATTAGACATCCCCCTCGTCTTAGGTAATTTACGTGATATCCAACAATTAAGTGGAATCTGGGTTGACCAAACAGCCCCTGCATTATACTGGTAGTTTCTTTTTTTTAAAATGCCAAAGAATCAACTATATTAATAAAGTTAGGCTTGAGACATGCCGCATAATAATATTCTGACAATTTATAAATAAAATCTTTTTTTTAAATTTATTGAGTAATGAATGTATTTGATCAAACATAATAGATTAAAGAATTAAATATATAAATTTTGTAAAAATTTTTTTTTAAAAACTCCTTTACAATTTTCAGATTCCTTCATATATATATATATGTCCGTTCAGTATCATATTCTTTTTTCAGTTTAGTTGGAATTTTATTTTATTTTTTATTTTATTTTTAAAAACCATGTGAAAATCTTATATTTTATATTTTTTTTTTGTTTTTATTATTTTTTTAACGTTTTAAATTATTTTTATTAATATATTTTTCTATTAATATTTTTTAACGTTTTAATAAAAATAATTTTTTAATAATTTTGACGTGGAAAAAGTGTATGATAGATGTTTTATTAATATTTTTTATAATGTATTCTCTTTTTAATAATTGTCTATCATGCCTAGGCATGCTCTAGGATGAGTGAACCATTGAGCAATACCAACATTGAACCTACTTGATTTGAATCAGAGTCATTTTTACGATAAGATTTTCGACTCTTCAGCCATATTTACAACTATGATTTCCTTATTGTCCACACACAAGCGAACCAAATCACCACAATCTTTGACGACATCGGCCTACCTTCATCCAACAACTCTTCAAATTATAATAAATGTTGCAAAGCATCTTTATGCATAGTAGTACTTACTCTAAGCCAATGACAAATACTTTTCCAAGCACTTGCAAATACAGAACACTCATAAAACAGGTGAGCTACCGAGTCATCATTGTCGCACTCTCCAACACACCTGCTCGCACCTTGATCGATCACACCCCTTTTAGAGAGTTTGTCTTTGGTTGAAATCTTATTCTGCAGTAGCCTTCACGCCAATGCTGACACTTTTGACGGGATCGTCTTATCCCACACCCTAGACCAAGGTGTTGTACCCCAAAATTTTCCCTCTCATTTCTCAAAGGATCATCATGGACCCTCAGGTTTGCTTCCATCCAATTCCAAGCCTTGAATTATAAATTTTCCAAGAAAGTCATTCATAAGGGCAAAATAGTCATTTGCATACTGAAAAGTCAAACTTTGACTTTTGGATCAAAGTCAAACTCAAGAGTCATATTTCATCAAGACAGGTTGAAATATAAAGTTTGTTTCGTCAAGAAATTCAAAAGTCAAATTTACTTTGAGAAAGTCGAAATTCTAAATACTTAGAATTTTTCTAAGTATTTAAGAGATATGACAAGCTCAGAACTTCTGGCCAGATTATCACCATAATGCAAGTTGATTCTAGAAGAACTTCTAACTCAAGAGTTTTAGATCTCAATGAGGCCTAAAACACTGCAGAACATAACTTCTTCTAGAAATGTTGGGATTTCAAGTTATACATCCTCAAAGTCACGTCCCTGAAACTTAAACACTTAGTAAATTATGAACTTTTTTTAAATCAGAATTTATCTACAATTTCTGGGCCAGTTTTCATGTAGCTTCAGTCTGAAGTTGCAAGAGTAATTCAAGGAGGGCTTACAAAGTATGTCATAAGCTTTCTGGAAAGTCTGAGAACTCACTCAGAATATGCTGGAGCAAAAATATTAAAGGATCAAAAGTTGGATATTGGTTCTAAGTTGCGTTGATGCTGAACTTCTGACCCAAAATTAAGCTATGATGCATAATCTCACATTGCAGGATTTCTAGTTTGATAAATCTCATCATCAATGCTCACAACCACTTTTGAGTTTTTATCCATAGGATTTCCCCATGCGTGAGATAGAAGTACCATTGATGTCATTGAAAAGCAAACTTTTGTACAAATTTATGCTGGGCCTATGCTTTGCTTTTGCTTCTGAGGATACTTTTCTTTAATTCATGCTTACAAATCCAACTTAGGCACGGCTAAAAGATGCTAACCACCATACTGGTTTAACTTGCTTCAAGAACAAGCCAACACGCTAGCATGAAGGTGGTACTTTTGACTTCTCCAATCTACAAAATTCTTACCTATAAATTGAACTTCATTTGAAACTGTGAAGGGGGCCGGTCGAAAAAATTGGAAGGCAAAAGCATTGAAACCTTGCTAAAATTCCAAGAATCTAAAACTGCAAACACAAATACAAAACCTGCCAGTTTTTGATTCCTACGTTCAAACTCCAATTTTCCTTAAGTGTTTCTTGACCAAGTCATCCATACAGTTTCTAATATACATTTAGAAGCCATCCTAACTTTTGTTTTCAGATTGTAACACGTTCTTCATCAATATCCACCTAAAAAAATGGGGTCAGAACTTTGCTCCTTGGTTGTTCCAGAATTTTCCAGCCATTCATAGCCCAAGATAATGGTTGTTCCAACCTGCTGAGCACGTGAGGAAGGTGATCAGAATATTACAAGCAGTCAGAACCAACCTTCAGCTCATAGAACATTTTCCAGCTGCAAGGTAAGCTTCTGCTGATCCTCATCATATTACTTAGGCAATGTTAGATTTACATGTTCAAAATACAATGTAGACATCCTGATTCTGATGTTGTACATATTCTGATGTTTCATGTATTTGTCTGCCTAAGTAGAGAGAACATCAGTTCTGAACTTCTTAAGGAAACTACGTTTAGCAGATACATGCTTGTTTCTGATTTACAGTCTTGACATTTTTTATGTTTCTGAAACCATGATGGAAACCTACCATAATTTCTATGTTTGTGTTTTTTGTTCTGTTGAGAAATGATCAAGTTGCAGATATTCTGATTAGCATGATGAAAGACGTGTAGTTTATCATCAGAACTTCCAAACTCTCTCAACAACCAGAAACTCCTGACTTTTCAGCAACATTAGCATTTCTAGGCTGCCAGCGACATCAGAACTACTAGAATCTCTTTTGTTCCTAGCGGATCCAGAACTTCTAATCCTCCCTATTTCTGCTAAAAAGTTATTTCTGTTTTTGCAGCACGCCAGAGTCAGAACTTCTGATCTCTTTTATTTCAGCAGTGCGATGATTCTGTTTTCTTTCTCCTTACTATTTTTGCCATAACTTTCATTTTCATTAATCAAAAACACCAAAAACATTTTACATTTTACATGCTTTATTTTATTTCTTAAATCAAAAAGACTAAATTTTTTTTCTTAAACTAATTCATTTAACAAAAATAAAACTAGTCCATTTTATATTTCTTGTATATTATTTAAATATGGTTGTAATAGATAATTAGGACTTTTAATTTCTTGCAATCCCCATTTGTAAATTTGTACACCCCATCCCCTTAATGATGTAATAGTATAGGACTTTACTTTTACGCACTTTTATTGCTTTCATATATTGTTAGTAATTAGGGTGTATATGACAAGATAAAAACAACAAATAGACAACCCAAAAATCAAAGACTAAATGCATGCAATCAAATACGATTTTCACACATGCACCCCTTAGGGTAATTCCACTTGTTGCCTATCGGAAAAATAGTCATGTCCCTCGAATATGGGTGTTTTAGAAAAGACCCTCGATAAAAGATCGCAGTCCCTCGATGACCCTAGATGTTGCCTTCGATAAACGATCTAGTCCCTAAAAGACATTGTTAAAACATCCCATAGGTTGCCTTCTATGACTATATAAAACGTCCTGTGCCCGTCCCTTTACATCCAACAATGGGGGTTCTTATCAATCAATGGTAAGGTAGCAATATCTAAAGGGGGGGGGGGGGGGGGGGGGGGAGAACATTTAAGACCTTTTGAGTAGGTAGATCGCTCCTAGTTTTTTGCTTGCTCACAACAAAAACATTTTATACACCAACACCTCATTTGAAACATTTTCAAAATACAAACACTTTGTATGCGTTCTTATAGAAACGAGAGCCATTACAAAGAAGACACATTTTCAA